TTTTTTCACTGGAGATCATGTCATAGCTGATATACACAGTGTATAGAGATATTTCTTATTTGTTTTTAGAGCTGTGTAGTATTCCAGTATGTGAATGGGTCCTAGTTTATGAAATCATTCTGTTATGGATGGACATTGGGTTGTTTCCAGGCTCTTGGTATTACAAAATAGTAACATTGGTTACCTTGAGTAACCTTATGTATTTGTCTTTTTGTATTTTTGTCAGTGTATTTTTTCGCTTGATTCCTAGAAATGGGATTTCTGGATGGACAGGTAAATGTATATGCAATTTTGCTAGATATTGCCAAATTTCTCTCCCCTTGGATTGTACCCATTTTTGCATTTCCACCAGCAAAAAATAAAAGTGTTTGTTTCCTGACTACTTTGTCAACACATTTTGCTGTCAACCTTTTAGATTTTTGCCAATCTGATAGTTGAGAAATAGTATCTCACTGTAGTTTTAATTTGCATTTCTTTTGTTACAAGTATGATTATATATTTTTTCATATATTTAAAGGTCCTATATTTTCATTTATTTTTTTTGTGAATGTGTGTTTATATCTCTTGCCTGTTTCCCACAAAGGGATGGTTTTCCTTTTCTTCTCCAACTTTTTAAGCCCTTCATATATTAGGGATATTTAGAGTGATGGGCTGGAGGTGGCTAGTGGCAGCTTACAAGTGCTGATTGTTAAATCGTCAGGAATTCTATAACCCATATCAGTACAGTTGAGTGCGTTTTGGAAATTTAAAATCTGTTATGGTGGGAATATTTACACCATGGTAATTGGCAAATCCTACGAATCAGGAAGTCCTCCTTGCCCTCCAGGACACAACCATTGGACATGAATCTTCTGTAAGTTGGAAATATTTTTTCCCAGTTTTTAACTTGTCTTTTTGTTTTGCTTATGATGTTTTTTGCTATGCAAAAAATTTTATTGTTGCTGTTATTTTGGATAATGCAAATTTCAGTCTTTTCCTTAATCGCTCCTGGATTTTGAGTTTCGGAGTTTCTCCAATTCCTCCATTACTGAAGAATCCACTCTCATCTCCTTCTAGTACTTATGTAGATTTATTTCTTTAAAAAATTTTTTAAAATCTTTGACCCATTTGGAATTCATCTTGTGTGGAAAAACAGATATAATTGTCTGGCTATCCACTTACCCCCATACTATTTATGAAGAGCGCCTTTTTCCTCCATTGATTTGAGATGCCACCCTTATCACATATTAAATTTCCAGATGCAATTGTTTTTGGATTTTTCTTTTTTTTTAAAGATTTTATTTATGTATTTGACAGAGAGAGAGAACACAAGTAGGCAGAGCGGCAGGCAGAGAGAGAGGGAAAAGCAGGATCCCCGCTGAGCAGGGAGCCCGATGTGGGGCTTGATCCCAGGACTCTGGGATCATGACCTGAGCCAAAGGCAGACGCTTAACCAACTGAGCCACCCAGGCGCCCCTGTTTCTGGATTTTTCTACTTTATTTTATTGATCTATGCATTCAGGTCCCAATACCTTAATCTTATTATCCAGGCCTTATAATGTTTTAATAACTGGTAGGGCTAGCCTCTCTTCATTTTCTTCTTTCTCAGGGCTTTCCCAAATATTCTTGCTTATTTAATCTTCCAACTGAGCATTATAATAAAATTGTCTTAACTCTAAGGCTCCTTCTTCGTTGCTTTTGCCAAGTGTTAAAAAAAAATACAGCCTTGTATTTTCTGACTTGTGACTCCTCTGGTCTGTACCCCCAGCTTTAGTGGAGACCTTCTCTTTCTTCCCCCCCCCCCCCCCCGCCGATGTCCTTGTTCTGGGTAATTTGAATTCTACTCCCAGGCGTTTCCTCGCAGAGAAAGCATTTTGTAAACTTCATCTAGCACTTCTGGAAATCACTAATTCTGGTGCTGAATAGCTAAGGGATTTGGAACAAAACCATTTCCAGATTTTTTCAGCTATACACTGTAAATTAAAAAATACTCTATTTCATAGGGGTTTTGTTTTGTACAATTAGAAATCATTTTCAGTCCGTTCTCAGTCATACGAACAACTGAGTATCAGCGGAATTGGACTACGGTAAGCACTCTCTCTGTGAAACATATTTGGCTGACCCCTCTTCTCCTCAAGCTCCTTCAGTGTTTCCTCCTCAGCCTCCAAATGGTGGGGCGCCCCAGAACTCAGATTTCAGACCTCTTCTCTCATCTAAACTCACTCCCTTAGTGAGTTTATACTATCTGGAGAATTTAACTGAGGACTTCCAAATTCTATATCTCCAGCCTGGACCTGCACTACGTCCTCAAAATGTGTACCTCTAACCGCTTCCTTATCAACTCCCACTGGATTTTTTAGAGAAATAAAAATTTATTTTTATTTTCTTTTTTAAAGAAATAAAGCTATGTAAGTACTAGAAAGGCATCTCCAATTTAACTTATCCCAAAACAATTCTGATATTCTCCCCCCAGACCAGTTTCCCTTACAGTCTTCCCAAGCTCACTTAATGACAATTCTGTTCTCATAGCTGAGGGGAAAAACTTTGCGACCACAGGGAGCAGCTCGGCTGGACCGGCTGGAGTGACAGGGCCAGGCGGTCTCTCTCCACACTGGTCTATCTAGGGCTTCTTCAGGCCCTAGCTTCAGCAGGATTCCTAGAGGGCAAGCCCCAGCATACAAGCCCTTCTTCTTCTTCTTTTTTTTTTTTTAATTTTATTTATTTATTTGACAGAGAGACACAGCAAGAGAGGGAACACAAGCAGGGGGAGTGGGAGAGGGAGAAGCAGGCTTCCCACTGAGCAGGGAGCCTGATGTGATGGGGCTTGATCCCAGGACCCCGGGATCATGACCCGAGCCAAAGGCAGACGCTTAACGACTGAGCCACCCGGGCACCCCATCATACAAGCCCTTCTTAAATCTCTTCTCGACTTACAGCTTCTGATGTAGCAATAATGAGCTCCGTGTCTTTGCCACTGGAGCAAGGGAACTGGCCCCCCAGATGCCTATGTATGGTGAAATGACTGTGCCAGGTCCAGCTGCCAGGAGATTTCCCACAGTGTGGCAGTTACTTACTCATTTGTAATCAACAAACTTTAGCAAAGCTGCAGTTAGTTGGCAGCTTTGCGGGGCCTGTTGATGTGACCACAACACTCAGCTTTTCCTCCCCAATGACAGGATGATTCCTCAGCTCTTTTGTCTAAATGGTTTTTTTTCTAAGGCAAATTCCCCCAGGATTTTCTTTCGGGGCTCTTTTGCAACTAAAAGCTCACATGTCCCCAGCTTTGGGGAAGAGACGCCTTTGCTCTACACTTCCTAGTGTTTCACAACTTGTACCTGCCCAGACTTTTCCCGTCTTTTGTTCTGTTTTGTAAATTTTCCAGTCCTTTCATGTATGTTCTTTTTCTTTACATAATCCCTTCCTTTGATTTCCTTGGGTTATTTTCATGTCCTTTTTCTAACCACAGGAACTGAATGTTTAATTCATTTGTTTTCACTCTTTCTTAATCATATTATAAGCCATTAAATTTTTTTTTTTGATAGATACTGACTTATTTGAGAGAGAGAGAGCACACAAGTAAGCACGAGGGGGCAGGGAGCCCAACTTGGGACTCGATCCCAGGACCCTGAGATCATGACCTGAGCCCAAGGCAGATGCCCAACCGACTGAGCCACCCAGGTGACCCCAAGCTATTAAACTATTAAATAAGTAAACCACCTTCTACCCATTAAATCCCCCCATCCGGTCACCCAGCTCAGATACTACCCTGTAGCTGGCATTGTACTTTATACATATTATATTTACAACCCATACTAATCTTCCATGCCCATTTTACAGATGAAATACGCACTCAGATGTCTGTCCTGGGGCGCCCGGCTGCCTCAGTCAAAAGAGCATGTGATTCTTGATCTCAGGGTCGTGAGTTCAAGCCCCACGTTGGGTGTAGAGATTACTAAAAAAAAAAAATAATAATAATAATAAATTTTTAAAAATGTCTGTGTTGTGTTTCTATTCCTGGGACATTTGACCATTCAGTTTCAAGGCTTCCCCCTAGACTGTGCCCCTCTCCCTCTGTCTCCTAATTCAATACTCATAGCAAATGACGTTTCTTCAAAGTAAAGGTTAGTCAAGCACTGACCACCTGATCTAAAACAGCCTCCCTCCACACTTTGACACATGCTATTTTATTCTGTTTATAGCACTACCTCAAATTATCCTGTTCATTTATTTGTTTCCTTGCGATGGTCTGCCTCCACCACTGAACTTTAAACCTCAAGGAATAGACATTTTTGTCTTGTTCAACACTGCGTTCCTGAGGCTCCTCAAGAGTAGCTGGCGTGCAGTAAACGTGAGTAAATATTTATGGAATCAATGCATTGCTGAAAGCAAATAATGCAGCGTGTGGAGGAGCCAGCACTTCTGGACTCGGCCGGAGTAAAAGCAACAGCTACTTTTGAATCCGAACGTGTGATCCTGGGAGGTAAGAGGCACCCCTCCATCGATGTGACTTAGAGCAGCTCACTGAATTTCAGCTGGGTGTCCCCTCCTGTGACAAGGGGAGGAAATGATCATAGACACCCACTGTGATAAGACACAAATACAAACGTACCTCACAAACTAGCGTGAAAAAGCAAGAGAGGAGGAGAGGTGGCCCTGCAGCACAGGGGGAGGAAGGGACAGTCTGGTGACCCGGGATTGGTGGCGAGGGGGGCGCAGGGCTCGGGAGCGGCACGAGGGAGCGCC